CCCCAAAAATTAGGAGACATCTTTAATTTTTTTCTTATTTTATATCTTTATTTCTAACTAATTTTTTTACAATCATGTTAGTTTTATCTAAAATATGTGCAGAATGTAACTAATTCTCACCACTTCCTCTGCTATCATAATTGAACCAAGCATCATCATCTCTCTCATGTTGGTACAAGGATCTCCTTACTGGCTTCTCTGTACCCATACGGTGTATTCTAACAACAGCAGCCAGTCTTTGTCTTTGTCTTGTCGATTTGGGCTACTATAACAAAAGTGCCACTTACTGGGTGGTTTAAACAACAAACACTTATTCTTCACAGTTCTGCAGGCTGGAAAGACCAAGGGCACCAGCAAACCTGACTTCTAGAGGGGGCCTTAGTAATCGCTTGTAGACAGTTGCCTTCTCCTAGATCCTCTCATGGCTGACAGCAGAGAGGGAGAAGAAGCAAAGCTCCTTCATGGCTCTTCTTATCCTATTATCTTCCATCCACTTATGACCTAACTACTTCAAAAAGTCTCTGTGTCCAAATACAACCACATTTGGGAATTAGGGTTTTAATATATGAATTTGCAAGGGATGAAAGTATTCATTCCATAGGAACATAAACTCAATCCATCTTGTATCTCAAGTTGTTGCCTCCACTTGGGAGGTATGAGGATAGGTAAGACACCCAAAAAACTAGATAGCATTTGTTGCCCTCAATGCAGAGAAACTAATGCAAATACTTTAAAGCAAAAGAGGCCAATAGAGAAGGGAACCAGGAACTAGAGAAAAGGTTAGTTCGAGAAGAATTAATTTAGAAGGTAACACAAATGCACAGGAAAGCAATACAAGTCAACTCCTGTATAGCTATCCTTATCTCAACTAGCAAAAACCCTTGGTCCTTCCTATTATTGCTTATACACTGTCTTCAACAAAATTGGAGATAAGGGCAAAATAGTTTCTGCCTGGTAGCAAGGGGGTTGGGGAGGACAGGGAGGGGGCAAGGGGAAGAGGGGAGAAATGACCCAAACATTGTATGCATGTATGAATAAAAGAAAAAAAAAAGAAGAAAACAAATTTTCTAGTACTTAGTGACACTGTAGCAGTTAAAAAAAAAATGTTGCCTCATGTTCTCCAGAATAAAGTCAATATTCTTACAATAGCATGAAAAACCCCCATGATCCAGTACCTAAAACCTCTCTGACTTAATCTCTAATTACTTTCCTAATTGCACTCTCCACTCCAGACTCATTGGCCTCTTTGTTATCCTGTTTATTTATCAAATTCATGGCCTTTTATCTAATGCAGGGCTTGATATAAAATGGGCAGTCAGACTAGATATGTGCTAAATGAACAAAATCCTTGAGGCCAGCCTGCTGAAGACATCAGTATATCCTATTTTAATTTTGTTTTACGAACTTTAAATTTGGCAATTTGGTTTCATATTGGACTGAAATTTGGCATTACATACTGAGACTTGATTTATTTACCCAATTTAAACAAAATATGTTTAGCTATTTGAAGTACTATAAGTGCAATAAAAAGTGTTTAGATAGATGACACCATGTTTTATAATTGTATAAATCATAAGGCTTTAGATTCATTGGGGAAATTCAGCTTGTCAGGTAGTTTATGGTCGGTTCAGTATGCGGTGTTAAGTGCAAAAGTAGTTGCTAAATACATAGGTAGTATAATTTTGCCTCTGTCAAAAGGCCAGTCAGAAATAATCAGCTTGCTATAGTAAACAAGGAAAGGAGGATAAATTTCAAAAAGCCTGGGAAAATTACCAAAATCTTTTAGGACAAACTTTTTTTTTTCTTTCAATGGAATACTTTGTGTCTTTAGAATAATTTCTGCAGCCTTACATATTTAGTATGACTTAGATTTGTGTTATTTATTTTTTGATTTCTTGACTTGCAACACTGATAACCTTCTCTCTTCAAGCACTTAGTTACCTTGAACAAGGACAGACCTCCCAGTGATGCCAATTTAAAAGCTAGTGCCAAGGTAGGGTCCACAGAGAGTGCCTAGGCATTGACCCAATCTGAGAATGACTGCTGGTTACTCTTGAGAAATAGGCAATGGTCAACATTAACAGGAAATATGAATAACAAGACTCAAAATGTGAGCATAAAGTCAGAACTATGGAACAAGACAAGATCAGGAACCAAGCTACCTGAAAAATGCCTGAAAACTAAGGACAAGGAGTATAGTACACCAGAGAAGGTTATTTATTATACATAATCTGAAAATGTTGATGCTACAAAAGCAAAGTGAGAGGATAACATTCCCTCTCTCCTTTGTACTTCTGTCACAGGGTATGAGGCACACATGGACAAATAGGACAGCCATTCTAGAGTGGCCCTCTGGAGCTATTAGGCAAGGAGGATGTCTTGATGGTTATTTCCCATTGAGAAGAAAGGAGAGTGAGGAGAAGAACTCAGAGACTTTCGAGCACAGAAATATGAAAAAGAGGTTATAAATAGGATTTTCTTTAGTCTTTTTTGACACATACAAGTTGTGAAGGTCCATTTAGGATGTTAGATGATAAAGGGGCAGTGATACCCTTTTTCATTTGGCCAAGGAGAATATTCAAAAGCATATTTACCATTCTTGTGAAATTTATGGTTGAACTATGAAGACAAGAGATGTAGAAATGTCACCATGACAAATGAAGATCACCTAATAATCATCTTGGGAATAGAAATAAAATGGAGGGGACAAGCACGCTCAAGGTACACTGTACACATGTATGGAATTATCACAATGAAATCCCCTTGTATTATTAATGTATGTTAATTCAAAAACAAAACATTTTAAAAAGTAAAAAAATATATTTTCTTCAAATCTATTTCGTCTTACTTGTGGAGGAACTCTGCAAAGCTCAATCACTTGTGTACAAGAGTAATACTATTCAACCAGTTTATATTACCTCTACTGCATTTGTGACTCCTCTATAAAATGTATTTATTCAATAAATATTTATCGAGCATCTATAATAGGCCAAGGACGGTTGTAGGTATCAGGAAAACTGAAGTAGATAAAACATGTATCTGTTGTCATCTCAGTGTCATAAGTTTGCATATCCTGTCTTCCTACTAGCAGAAAACTTATTAATTTTAATCATTCTTCTGCAGTGAGTTTCTTCGCCTACTTGTCCATCAAAGACTGTTGATATAAGCACCATCTTCCATGCTCCTGAATCAGAACCTCAGAGGATAGATTAGGAAATTTATGTTTTCAACAAGCTCTCTGGGTATTTTAGATGCATTTACAAAATGTTTACAAAATGGATAATTTCATGGGACCCACTTCCTCATTAATAGCATTCTATTAATTTGATTATCATGACTCACCTTTACCAAACTTCTCATCCTTGAACTGTACAAAGCTCTCCCTAGCTGGCTCTCAGCCAACTAACCTAATATCATTTAGCAAAGCAAAAGTTTGAAAGAAGACCATTTATTTTTTAACAAAATGGCTATTTCTGCATGGCAGACATTACCATGCTCAGCTCTGAGGTAGAAAAGGAAGGCAAAATTAATTATTAGTTATAGAACACACACTAAAATATTAATTTTAAAGGTAAAGTTGAGATGAGGGAGATAGAAATTTTCTCATCGAACAAGCCAAGACTTAGTAATCCTCAGAAATCCACTGTGTAAAAATAAAAATTGTTCACTAAAGTAGTTCTTTATGAGTTAGGAAAACTTAGCACAGTCAATATTCTGTCATTAAACAACATGCAGTACTAGCAAATGTAATAAATGTAATATATTGATTTTTTAAAAAATAACACAAGCTTATAATGTGCTATCCACTATTCTTAGTAAATACTTTAAGATAGTAAACTGACTTGATTTTCAGAGCATGTCTGTGAAATATGTTTTTATATCATGCCCATTTTGCAGCTGAGAAAACTGTGGCATGAAGAAGATAAATAACCTGCTTAAGGCTACAGCCTTAAGGTCACAGCCAAGATTGGAATCTGGGTGCCAAAATCACCACTAGACTAACCAGCTCCCCTTGAGTTTTCATAATACTTCTTTAGGAGCCTCAGATCAGTGAAATTTATTTAGTCTTATTCTAAAAAACAAGAATTTGTTGATTACAGCTTCCTTACCCCAGTCCCTTAATCTGTCTATTATCAGTGATTGGTTTTTCAAAATGAAAATAACAGTCCTGCTAAACAGGATTATCTAGTGGTTAGTGAATGAGCATAAGATCAATTTGGTTCTGAGTCTTAGATCTACCACTTACTTGCTTTATAGCCACTTGGCCCCTTCAAGCCACAGTTTCTTCACCTTTCAAATGGACGTTATAATGGGACCTACTTCATACTATTGTTTAGAGATAAAACAAGATGGTTCATTTAGAAATAAATATTAGTGCAATAAATAGCAGCAGTATCATTAAACTGTGAAGGAAGATGGTTTCTCTTTTAATTAAAAAAAAAATCACAGCAACCAAAACAACAAACCAAATCATAAGGCATTATGATATCTCTTGTGGGAAAATCAAAAAGGCTATTGCACCCATTAATTCATATGTCATTAGTCCAAAATGTATGGGTTCTAGCATCCTGAGACACCTTGCATAATACAATCAGTGACTCAAAGAGGTCAAATGGGTAAGCAGTTAACGCTGCTTTCTGAAAAGCTCAATAATTCATGTTATAAATTTCAGTTTAAAGCCTACATTGAGGTTAAAAAAAATTGACATTTGATCTGTGAACCTAATATCAAGCTCCAGAAAAACTCTGGGAAGCACATGTTTAGCCATTAAGCAGATGCAGACAATACAGACATTGCCAAATTGTAAAACAAGACTTGGAAATCACAGAAAATGTTGCTAGTTATTGATTAAGGTGACCATTCAGTTCCTATTGAGCCACCCAAAGGAATCATTCATTTTCCAGCAGAGAGCCTGCTCATTTGCAAGATAAAAGAGAGGCATTTCTGCACATGCCCGTAATGTTCTTCACCACTGGGGGCAGCTTTACATAAGACTGCATTCACTGAAACCAAAGCAACAGTCCAAGCAGCTTTCAGAATGACAGTCTGCAGAACTGAGCTGAGCGTGTGTGCGGTACGGGGCTCTCCTGCCTTCTGGGCTCCAACACAGCTCTGTGGCTGAACTGGGTGCTTACCACCGGAATTGCTGGACTATGGAATACAGATGTGGCAGTTCAGGTAGCCCTGTGTTGCCTGGAAGAATACATCATGCTTTTTGATAAGAAGAAATTGTAGAAGCCAGTTTTTTTTTCTCCCTTAACCCCCTCCCTCAGGAAAAAAAAAAAACTGTAAAGATGCAAAAACGTAATATCCATGAAGATCCTATTACCTAGGAAGATTTTGATGTTTTGCTGCGGATGCAGTATTGGGATTTATTTGTTCTTGGAGTGTTCTGCGTGGCTGGCAAAGAATAATGTTCCAAAATCGGTCCATCTCCCAAGGGGTCCAATTTTTCTTCCTGGGTGTCAGCGAGCCCTGACTCACTACAGTGCAGCTGACAGGGGCTGTCATGCAAGTGGCCCCCTAAGCCAAAGCAAAAGACCTAAGGACGACCTTTGAACAATACAAAGGATGGGTATGTTTTGACATTTTTCTTCTTTCCTTCTTAAAAAAAAGTCCTCCAGTCTGTGTAAATAATTCTGCCTTAATTATTTTAAAGATTACCATGTTCTGCTCTAACACTATAAATTCAGTTGCTTAGTCAACATGTTTCCTTGTTTAACTATTAAAAAATACTCAAGACAATCTCCTTAGATTCCAAAGAGATGATATTTGATGTTAAATGTTGTTATTAAATGTCTAAATTTCTAAACATGAAAATATATGACTATTATTGCTTGATTTTTTAAAAACATGAATTCTTTTTTGGGGGGATAACTTTTCTAAGTTATTTTTATTTCCAGGTTTCAATGTAATTAGGCTACTGAGCGGATCAGCTGTAGCACTGGTTATAGCTCCCACCGTCTTACTGACAATGCTTTCATCTGCTGAGCGAGGATGCCCTAAGGGCTGTAGGTGTGAAGGCAAAATGGTATATTGTGAGTCTCAGAAATTACAGGAGATACCCTCAAGTATATCTGCTGGTTGTTTAGGTTTGTCCCTTCGTTATAACAGCCTGCAAAAACTTAAGTATAATCAATTTAAAGGGCTCAACCAGCTCACCTGGCTCTACCTTGACCATAACCATATCAGCAATATTGACGAGAATGCTTTTAATGGGATACGGAGACTCAAAGAGTTGATTCTGAGTTCCAATAGAATCTCCTATTTTCTTAACAATACCTTCAGACCTGTGACCAATTTAAGGAACTTGGATCTGTCATATAACCAGCTGCATTCTCTGGGATCTGAGCAGTTTCGGGGCTTGCGGAAACTGCTCAGTCTACATTTGCGGTCTAACTCCCTGAGAACCATCCCTGTACGAATATTCCAAGACTGCCGCAACCTGGAACTTCTGGACCTGGGATATAACAGGATCCGAAGTTTAGCCAGGAATGTCTTTGCCGGCATGATCAGACTCAAAGAACTTCACTTGGAACACAATCAGTTTTCCAAGCTCAACCTGGCCCTTTTTCCAAGGTTGGTGAGCCTTCAGAACCTTTATTTGCAGTGGAATAAAATCAGTGTCATAGGACAAACCATGTCCTGGACCTGGAGCTCATTACAAAGACTTGATCTGTCAGGCAACGAAATCGAAGCTTTCAGTGGACCCAGTGTTTTCCAGTGTGTCCCGAACCTCCAGCGCCTCAACCTGGATTCCAACAAGCTCACATTTATTGGTCAAGAGATTTTGGATTCTTGGATATCCCTCAATGACATCAGTCTAGCCGGGAATATATGGGAATGCAGCAGAAATATTTGTTCCCTGGTAAACTGGCTGAAAAGTTTTAAAGGTCTGAGGGAGAATACAGTTATCTGTGCCAGTCCCAAAGAACTGCAGGGAGTAAATGTAATGGATGCAGTGAAGAACTACAGCATCTGTGGCAAAAGTACCACAGAGCGTTTTGATCTGGCCAGGGCTCTCCCAAAGCCAACGTTTAAGCCCAAGCTCCCCAGGCCGAAGCATGAGAGCAAGCCCCCCCTGTCCCCAACTGTGGGAGCCACAGAGCCTGGCCCAGAGACCGATGCTGACACGGAGCACATCTCTTTCCATAAAATCATCGCGGGGAGCGTGGCCCTCTTCCTGTCCGTGCTTGTCATCTTGCTCGTTATCTACGTGTCCTGGAAGCGGTACCCGGCAAGCATGAAGCAGCTGCAGCAGCGCTCCCTCATGCGAAGGCACAGGAAAAAGAAAAGGCAGTCACTCAAGCCAATGACTCCTGGCACCCAGGAATTTTATGTAGATTATAAACCCACCAACACGGAGACCAGCGAGATGCTGCTGAACGGAACGGGACCCTGCACCTATAACAAATCAGGCTCCAGGGAGTGTGAGGTATGAATGAACCATTGTGCTTAAAAGCGCTCTTAAAAGACGGGGAATAAGTGGTGCTTTATTGAACTCTGGTGACTATAAAGGGAACACACGGTGCCCCCTTTCCCCTCCCCCTCTCTCCCTCTCCCTGTGCTGGCAAGGTTCTTCCCTGTCCCTTTGAGTGCACTCATAATACTGGTCATTTTCCTCTCATACATAATCAACCCATTGAAACTTAAATACCACAATCAGCGTGAACCTTGAAGTCTGCTTTAATATCATGCCTATTGTATCAGACCCTGTATTGATTCCATAAATGTTGCATTTGCTTTCAGATAAAACTTCTTTTATAAATAATCCCCCACATCTGATCATTCTGATAGAAGCCAGTCTACAGCACTGGAAGATTTGCAGTTCACTGGCAAATCAAGGGAAAAGATGAATGATCTCAGCAGGTGGGACTTGAACTCCTTCAGGAGATGACTTGTCTATGAGTATTTTAGAGACAGAAAGAGCCTTTAAAACAATGCCTGGCTTAAAAAGAAAACTGCAAGAAACTATCAAAAGACTGTGGTGGCTTAAAGCAACACCATGAATAGTTTCCAAAAGTGTCTCAATCACAATAAGGCCAGCACAGGGAAAAAGTGTCCAAGGGTTAAAATACTGCAAGTAGACAGCTACAAATGTGAGGAGAGAGGAAAACACAGTGTGACATTTGAAAGCCTTGGCTCTGGAACCCATCCCTATTAAAAAAATTAGACATCAGGTTTCACTATCAATTTCTTCCAGCCTGTGTGTTAACTAAATAGCAATATTTAAACAGGCAAATTCGAGGAGGAAGATTTCTCCAGAGTTCCTCACATTAGGGAGTTCTCAGAGATAAGGTTTACAAATGAGAAAGCACCGTGCTACATGCATGTAGCTGTTTCCTTACCAGAATTCCTCTTTTCAGCTTTTTTCAAAGACCTCAATGTGGTCAGCAGAATCCTTAGCTCTGTGCTGTGTTGTTCAGGTTTGTCAGGCTGTCCTGTAGTGTTCCATCACGTGTCCTGCACAGATTTGTCCCCTGTGATGGGCACTTCATTCAGATGTGTAAAGAGCACATTCCAAGACATGCTTTCCACCAAAACTTCATTAAAAAGATGACTTTGATAATACCTTAATAAATGTATAAAATAAATCTTTGAGGAAAAAAGACCAACACTATGACAGTTCTCTTTTGCTTTGCTATTGTTGACATTACTGTGTCTCTATGTTCATCTGTATTGTAAACTCATCCATCAGTACAATTCTGTACAGACCCTGTTGGCAATCTGTAAACTGCATGCATGTTTTTATGTCATTGGTGAAAGTTCACTGACTGCAGCACAAATATCATAGCTTCTGTATTTAAGTGACATGACTACAGTCCATTCAGACTTCAGAAAAAATATCTTTAGTCTATATCCTCTTTCATCCTCCAAAAGGAACAGTTTTATTAAACAAGCAAAAATTAAGGATTGCCACATTGAGGCTGTTTCATGTAATTTGATTTGCCAAGCTTCACATCTTTAACCATGTGCCTGTTCTTTCAAAACAGAATTGCTGCAGCAAAAAGGAAAAAGTGAATGTCTATTTACCAGCATTTTTACACAGTTTGGATGTTTTTCATACACTTAGAGGAAAAATTTAGGCAAGTCACAATGAAACATAATTGCAAAGAAACCAGATTATTAAAACCATAGTTCTATAAGCAATAAAGAAAAAAGAAGCATTTAAAGTGGATTTCTCAAGGAATTTTGATATTGATTAAATCTTAAAATAGAGGCCAGTTCAGAAAAGCATGAATAATTATTGAATACATGTTTATTAGTGGCAAATAGTCATATATTCTCAACTGATTAATAATGCAGACACTTCCTTATAGTCTTATTAACTGGATGACTTAGCTTATTGTGTTTTTCACTGAAATTGTAATTTTACATTTTTCATAAAGCATCAGTAAATACAAATACCATCTTAAAAAAATCTTCTTGAGTCAGCCTCATTTCTATCTGTACTAAAGATGATTTTATAAATTAAATGCAGTGTTAAAGTGAAAAACCCATCTCTATTTTTTACTTGACCTTCTGGCTCATTTGTGATGGATACCAAATACCTTTAGTCAAGGAATATTTATAACTATATTTGAATTCTTATAAACCATCTATACTGAGATACAAAATATGTTTGCAGAATCAAAAAGTATTTCTAAAATTCCAATCCACTTGGTGTGTAAAATTGATATAAGATTAAATGAATGACCAACTGTTGAAGGCTGGTCATTTTTTAATGCCTAAATTTCCTTACGAATTTAGGAATAGGTAAGAAACTAAACAAAATACCTTATATGGCAAAACTCATTTTGATTCAGGATGTGAAAGAAAGAAAAATGTTCTTTCCCACACCCCTCCCCCTCGGGAGGTTCTCAGTATCTCCTGAAAATAAATGCTAGCCTTCTGGAGGTCAGAGGATTGCTACTTGACCATTATAAATTTAACAAAGCCAACTGGCAGTGTTCTCCTGATAAGAAGTTGTTGCCCTCACATCCACCCCATGACACTTTCTGGACTACCTTCCATAAATCTATTTTCATAAGAATTTAAAACTCATTGCATTTTAGAGAAATATAACTGATATTCAAATTTACAAGAAATGTCTGACTTCCCTCAAAAGTGGCAACAGTTAAATAAACTGCCTGACCTGTTGCACTGTACAACAGAGATGCATCGATGCAACATGGATTCACTCAGTACTGTGAACACTTTACCAAAACACGGAGGAAATGGAGTTTAGTTTCTTTGCAGAGTGTGTGTGTGTGTGTGTGTGTGTGTGTGTGTTCCCTTTTCATTAGCTTCAGTACGCATAGTGCTAATGCAGCATGGTGCGCAAATAGTCCCAGTGCCATAGTCTTCTTATTTTAAACTTATTTAAAATAAGTTTGTATTTTCCAAGGATGTTGACATTACATAGTTTGAAGGAATTTAAACCATTTTTTACTTGATTTGGTGAGTCAGCTACCTAAGTAGGCACAGGCAATAGACTACTTCTATGGAGTAGCAGTGACCTCTAGTGGCTGATTAGATCACTCACAGTTTTTCATGCACATTCTGACTTTTCATTCTGAATTCTTTTGTAAACGTGATTTGCAACATATATTTTTTGATCTGTACATCAAATTTCAATTTTATTTAGTTAATTTTCCTTGGAACTATGAACTGACTTTTTTAGTAATGCCAGAAGACAAAAAGTAAAACTGGTACTGAGGGGATATTAAGCAACTAATGCCATAAGAATATATAAGAAATATTTGTAAGTGTTTATACTCATTGATGTTTGCCTAGCCTAAGATTTTCATTAAACATGTTGATATTCTCCATAGGCAAGATATTGAAATATAATTTAGGTTGAGGAAAACTAATTCCGAAACTAATACTGAAAGAATCAGTAGCTATTCTTTACTGATCAGTGGGTATATGGGGGCTGTCAAGGGAGGGAGGACTCCCATTCTGGCTTTAGAACTCTTTTATAGTTTGCTGGTCTTCCAGTAACCTGTGCTTTGCCCCAGTGCTTTTCCTCTCCCTTCCCCCTTTCAGCCAGCAGAACACTGGTTCTATTAGGTTCTCTGACAATGATGTTACAGTCTAAGAGGTGATGATTCATGGATAATGAAATTATGCTCTCCTTCCGGGGAAGGATAATGCAGAGTCAGATTCATGGATTTGGCAAGGGTTTTGGGGATGCTGTAGGTGCATGAAGTATCTCTCTTCCTTTGACATTTACCAAGATGAGAACTCAAATAGCTTATTTAAAGTGTGGATTAGACTAGTGTCAGAAATAAGCATCAGGCTTGAAGCTTAAGAAAAAACGAGTTGCAGACATGACAAATGAGAATTGACCCATGGGAAATGGAAAATTCAGAAATCATGTGGTTTGTTTTATTCCATTTTTCCTGTGTTCTCATTAGACTCTGTGTTGTGTTGCATCCATGCAACTTTGCTAGTCTTATATTCTCTCTGCTACCTACATTAAAAATCAGGGACAGCTAGGAGAAACTAGGAGAACAGAAATAATACAAGTAGATTTGAATGTTGTTGGGTAAATAGAATGGATGGACATGAAATAGTGCATAAATGACTCTCAAAGTATACAAGTAAACGTGATTATATCCCCAATCATAGTAACCTACACAATTGGACTCAAATTTTGCCTAGTCTCTGAAATCTTGGGTGATCTTGGATAGCTAGGTAGAATACAATAATACATTACAGAAAAAAATCTAAATTAAAGGTAAAGCTATTTCATTTGAGGAAAATAATCACAGTCATGCATGGTAGAATATGAACCTTGGATGTTAAGACCTAAATTCAAACTTCTCTGATACTTGGTAATCAAATGGTCTCAGGTAAATGTCTTAGTTTTTCTAAACTTGAAGTTCCCCTGTTTAGAATAGGTATGTACCACTGACTGCTAAAGTTATTGGAGGGAACAAATATGAAAAGAGCTTTATAAACTCTAAAATGATAACTCCCTGTTCTTTTCAAAGAGCGTTTAGTGAAATATTCAACTGTATTGGCTGGTGTTTTGTGTTTGGTACAGGTAAAAAAAAGTCACTAATCTCTGTGTTTACAGAGCCCAAACTAATATTTAAATCAATATCAGTCTAGAGCTTGTCTTTTACCTTTGATAACCATAAGGATACTGATTCTTGCATCCCATGTTATCCAACTCTCAAACTTTATCAATCAACACTAGCCACAATGTGCAATAAACTTAAAGACAACAACCAGAGAACACAAAAACAAAACCTTATCAAGGTAAACAAAAATTCTGATTTGTGACCTAAATCAGGTTCATATAGCAAAGACTTTTCAACAAGTAGAAGTTTATTTGTCCACTCCCTCTTCAGTATCACTGTTCTAGTCCTTGTTGACTTTATACTGTATAAATATAGTGTTTATATGGCAGAATGACATCATTTTGAGCAAAAAAGTAATTTTTCATTATATCTGGTGTGCAAATAGCACATTTTGGGTACCAATCATGTGACATAAGCTCTGCTGTTTCTATCCCACACCCACCCTAAATGGAGACTGAGTCTAAAATGTTCCTCAGTACAGAAACTATTATTTACTTTGTCTACCTGATTATAACTGATCACTGAAAATTACTGGATTTTTTAAAAGTAGCATATAATACAAGTGCTTTTGTAATGAATAACAACCTTTAACCTAAGCAAATTAAATAATTCATCAAAGAGCGACCAATGTAATCACAAATCTCTCTCCATTGGGTGTGACTGAGCTTACCAAATTTTAGGTAAGAGATGTATTT